CATATAACATTTAAAGAGCAGCAATACAAACGGTTTGGTACTGCTGCACCCAGTGACATTACATTTTGCATGGAGCATGTTACAGTTAATTGCACTTTGATCTTGGACTGGGTCTGTCAGATGAAATTTTATTTTAAGTCTATTTCTGTACCATCCCTTTTGCTTTCAGCAAAATTGATAGAAAAATAAACTGTATTTGGAGCTAATCTAAGCAGGATATAATTGATTTTGTGCACACTGGCCAAAAATGAGATAATATGTACACAGCTTTGTTAGATATTTAGCACAGAAGGGAAGAAAAACCATTTTTAAAATGAATTAAACAAAAAGAAATAACAAAATAACACAAACAATATTTTTTTAAGCAATAGATGTTAAAATACTAATTCCCCATGATTATTTCAGACATCAAGGGATTATAGGAAAAAAACATATTTTTTCTCCTATTACCATATACCAAAGCTATACAATTATGTTATGTTCACCATTAATATTACTAAGTTATACATATCCAAATGAAATCCTTGACAAGCCAAATGAAAACCTTTATTTTAGATCTTACTTACCAAAAACAAATTCCCTTTTACTTTGGCAGTGATTAGAGAGGGGAGTTTTTTCAAACTGGTTATTAATGACCCAATTAAATCTCTTGATAAACAACTTCTAATGAATGTTTCATATACATTAATTTATCATAGGTCTTGTTCAAGTTACTTTCCAATAATATGTCTAATACAATAATACTTCTAATAATACAGTTAAGTGGTTAATATTTTCAAGCTGCTTTTTTTATCATGTTAGATGTGGTGGGATTTCTGTGAATCTCAATGTCAAAACAATGCAAAACATCACATGGGTAATACATAGGAAATTAAAAAAACATTTAAGCATGACATCTGAAATTGGAGAATAATTAAATCAAAATCCTGTAAAAGCTTGGGTGCTATAAAAGCCTACATTTGTTAAAACATTAAGCTTTTGTAATCTTAAAGTTTTCAACTATGAAATGAAGTACTCACATATTAAAGGTTCTGCTGTTACACGTGTTGTCATAGCAACTACTTTCCCATTTCAGGTCTCTGTAGCACATTGTTTTCAGCATTTAATTTCTAACTACTTTTTTAGCACTTCTGTTGAATTTTTGAAGACACATACCTGCTTTCGAACAGATCAACAGATCTGCAGAAAATTGACCATCAGCAGCAGTATTATCACCTTGTATTTTGATTTGACTGGATCATATAAGCTAAGCAAGGTTAAGCCTGGGCAGTACTGGATGGGGGACCTCCAAGGAAACCAAGTTGGTGGTGTTGGTGGACCAGTATTTGGTCCTCTTCTCTTTGGATCAAATTTCCAAAACAATGCCCCAGCATGCTGGCCAGGTACACTGAGAACTTTAATGAATGTACTTTCTACAAATGACCCATTCTGGAAAAGTATGAGTGATAACCTTGGTGTCCTAGCTTAACTCCACTCTGGCTTGCACAGTCTGGCTTCAGCAAGTGACCTTGTGAAAGTCTCCCCTTATTTCAGTGGCTGAAGTAATTTCTCAATTCTCCGCTTGATCTGTTGTGCAGTGGGGCTGCTGCCACATGATGGATTCACTTCAATGGTGGAAGAATTGGGGCCCCTGCTACATATAAAATAATTTGGGATCAAGAGGTCTGTAGAAATTCAAGGTATTATTATTAAACCTTAGACTTAAATAAATCAAGAATCAAGAGTATCTCCTTGGAACCATTAAATGTTTCTGAACTATCATCAGGTTTTCATTTTTGAAGGCTACATACAGTACTTCCCTGTTGTAAAATAATCTTCCGCAGACTGAAAACTGTCATGTAATTCTGAGGACTTGACACACAGTTTCAGCTTCTGTGATCGAAAAGAATATTAAGTTTAGTTAAAAATGTTGAAACATACAAAGGACACACAATTCAAAATACACCATATTTTTAATTTCAGGATGATATGGTATTTAAAGAAAAATGGTATAGTATGCTTTTGCGAATAGGGTGAGCATAAACCCATACCACGTTAATAACCCTACTCCTGAAACAGTGATACAGGTTAGTGATACAGAAGAAAACAATATTAGAAAATAATACAATATTTTTGCAGATGACTAAATGAGTGGAAACACACTTTTTAAATGACAAACAATCCATAAATGCTATCCAAGAGTATAAGTCCATGGAAGTTCTAGTATTGAGACCTTGACCACTGGCAATAATTAGCACAGTCTATGCACTGTTAATACACTCTCATTGAAACAGCCCTCTGGGTCTGTTTAATGATTAAACTGTAATTTATTCACAAGGTATTACATCCTAAAATTGATTTAATAGCCCCTGTCCTCTCTCAACAACTTACTTCTTGCAGTCAAAGTTGTCAGGGCTTGAAAACATTTACGAGTTTAAGAATGATGGTATCCAAAGGTAATGCTGCTGAGTTCATTAAAGCTGCAGCTATTTTTCTTCCTGCGACTTTGTTAGCTATGAACATTTCATTGATCACTTCGATACAAAGAGTGCTTTGTAAAAGGTCAAGTCTGCCAGCTGTAGTCCATCAGTTAGAATAATGCATTATCAAAGAGTACTGTGAATACCTTTTGCATACATGCTTCAAAAGGCAAGGTAATCTTGGTATTGGATTAGGGCAGCTATTTCACAAAGGTATTTTTTCATCATGTACCTCTGGTGAGTAATGTACACCTAACGTACACCTTCTAGTGTACTTATGGAAAATCTTTTCTGTGTTTCTTAAAAACTACACCGCCTAAAGAGTGTGGTCCTGTGTGTGTGTTATTCAAACAAAATGATTTACAAGGAAGAATTAATATTGTATAATCACGGATTTCTTCACAGGATTTCAGTACGTGAATTGTGTGGGCTGGTAAATGGAGTGGGGGTACATAAATGGCTAATCAGAGCTATTATAAATATGAAAAGCAGGGACTACATTATGTAAGAGCTTTTTAAAATACAGTGGAGAATTTAAAGTGATTATGTCTTTTTCCTATAGTTTATTGTTTTAAACTTTTAAAGAAATATCCTGATCGTAACAAACATCCTTATACAACATATTTTTAAAATCACACTAGACTGATTTTTTTAAAAAAGGGATGTGAACATCTTAAAACAAGTTAAAAACCACCAGCAGCTACATCAAATGTCTAGGATGCAATTAAAACTACGGAAAATTCTTCAGTGTCCACAGCCCGAGACTTACTTCACCTGAAACAAAATATTTTACAATACACAAGCTTCTCAGTTAAGCACACACAGAAAGCTGTGCCCTGGGAAATATTAAAGTCTTCAGAAATCTGACTTATTATTGTGATATTTGGTCTTCTGTTCCATTTTATCTTGCACTTTATTACTAATCAAAATACTATACTGCATGGTAACTAAAATCAACAATACAAAGTACAATTTGTTTTAAATCTCTTCTTAAATCAATCTCGAGTTTCAGCACTCTGCATGTCAATCAAATCATTTTTCAAAAGGTAAAGAACACAAAAGCTGATATGCTCTAGATTGAATTTAGAGCATTCAAGCTCACCAAGGCCTTTCTATACAGAACTTACTCTGAGACATCTGCAGTACTCATTGCAGGGAACTGTGGTTATTAATTGCTTAATGATCCAAGGATTCCATCAAGATACTCTTAAGAAGGAGTTGCAAGTGCCCAGGTGAAAGGTCACAAAACCATATCCTAGAATCTTTGCAGCCTTTCCATCAATGAATGTTTTAAATGTGGAGTTTTTTCAAATTTATACAAATTATACAATTTTGTTACATATGATGAAATCAGATATAACCAAAGTTAAAGTAAGAGTGATCATACTATGATTTCACATTGATCACATTGAACCACCCATACTTCAGATGATATTAGTCTTCTATTACCCTTAAGTAATAAAACAATGCACCCTTTCACCCATAAGTAAACATTAATAAACACTGAATAGTGTAACATAAACTACAATGAGCATTTAAAGAAACATATCACTTATAACTGCAACAAGTTCACAAAATTCGAGTTGGCCATGGACGTACACAAATCAAATTAAACCTGAAGAATGGTTGTTTAAAAAAGCCCAATTGATAGACTACATGCCTTCGGGTGTGAAAGAATTGGAATTATTCTATGCACATTGGAGCTCAGCAGCTCCCACGTGTCTTGTGGTTGTAAATACATTATTGGGATCTTCCCCCTTATTCATTCCGGTCTGTTCTCCACTTTCCCACTAAATTATTTCTCAGCTTTTGGCTATCACACCTGGTACAATACGTAGACCGGTTTCTACCCTAAATCGATATGATCTTGCCCCTAAATGTTATTAGTGTCCTAGAACGACCTCTTATCACTGTAAAGATCGAGGTTACATAAATCCAAGTCGACCATTTTATGTCCAGAATACTGACTAATGTGTCCATCAGGCCGCTCTTAATATTGACTGAGTGCTGAAGCCGCTCATACGAAATCATTCAGCACCACGGTCAGCACCTTTCTCAGGCGAGCACAACCGCCTTGAACAGCAATGGTTGCACATTACATTTTAAATTGATGATTAACCTTTTCATACTTCATTAGTTCTGACTTCATCTCCTTGGAAATGCAAACCACGAAGCCTGGTTTTTTCTTCTGCTCCTGGCAGATAGCATACTGCATTAAAAGATTAGGTTCAGCGGTAATACGATTTCTAAGGGAAAAAAGAAAGTTGTCACAGAATTTACGTGGGAGATTAACCATTTTAGTTAAACGCGACTCTATATGAGACTATGCCGCATTTAAACTACTGTATTCAATGTTTTGGGCTCTGTTTGACTTGTAGTTTTTACATAAAACTTTCTGATCTTGTCGAGAACTGGCGCTGTACAACCTATGCTATGGTTTCTGTAATCATAAAAAATGCTTACTCAGATTCACGTTTTCCGTGCGCGATCTACATCATCAGATTTGTGTTTCGTTTAGGTTGCAGCAGCTCTTTAATTAGCATACTTCGGGGAAGTGTTTATTTTTTGCATCTCCGTCACGATTTGGATTTTACTCCCTGCTACTGCGAGTCGTGAGCGCTGCTTCTCTTCCTTAAAGGTCACGGTGTTAAAATATTAATTTCAGTCTGGGATTACTGAAAGAAAAAACAAGATTTCCAGCAACCTCTAATATGCGGTATTGCAGTTTCTCAGTCTGCGATTTATCAGCGATCGATATGACTAGCAGAGCTGTGGTCATGGTAATTACCCGAATAGTAGTAACCATACAACTATTAAAAATGAAGATTGGACATATTAAGTTTTATTTGGCTGTGATATGTTTCAAAGGGCATGGAAACAACCCAGGACGATATACAGCAAATGCAAAATAAAACTTGAGAGGCATATGAATTTTTTCAGCTCTGCTGGACTGCTTAACATGCAGTAAACAGAACCTAGTGACTGGGACAAACACGCGAAAATTAGCAAGAACTTAAGTTAATGCGAAAGCTTACTGATGAAAATTAAATTGCAACAATCATGCGACTTCGATTGATCTACAAATTATTCCCTCTGCTTCCTTCGTTCATCTACATCTGCACAGCCAACCGCAAGCCGCATAAAAAAATACAGTCCTGATTGCTTTTCGAACTACAAGTCGAGTTCGGAGATTACAGTCTTGTGCCTGCCGCGACGTTTTTACGATGATTTTTTAACATAAAATTAATCTTTGAATCCAAGTTTTCCTTTAATTCATTCCCCGTTTCCCCCGTGCACTTTGGTGTGTATTAGCGATGCGGCGAACTGCGCCACCTGTTTCGGTGCAACTCCTCAGTCCCCCTAGTCGACTTTGCAGAGTGTGAAGATGAAGAAGCAGAACGTTCGGACTCTTTCTCTGATTCTCTGCATGTTTTCCTATCTGCTCGTGGGGGCTGCAGTCTTCGATGCTCTCGAGTCAGAATCCGAGAGCTCCAGGAAGAGGATTTTAGAGCAGAAGCGCAACGAGATGAAAAAGAAATACCGGTTCTCGGAGGATGACTACCGAGAGATTGAGAGGGTTGTATTGCAAGCGGAGCCCCATCGAGCCGGGCGACAGTGGAAATTTGCTGGCTCCTTCTACTTTGCAATCACTGTCATCACCACCATAGGCGAGTTAGGTTTCTTACTTTCCTTTGCTAATGTGGTACTTGAGCACGTATATTGGATATGCACCCAAGTACCAAATGTGGTTTTAGCAGCTATATATTGTGCATGATTTGAAAATCAGTACTGAAAAGTCTTTGATGCTACCTTTGTACAAGTTAACATCTAACTGCAACAATTTGTCAGCCTTCTTTAATCAGTATTTTTCTGTACCTACGTTTCTTATGTACTGAATGTCTTTTGTTGATTCTGTCTAGGTCGTCATCTTTAAAAGGAAAGTTTATAGTGGCCTACGTTTAATTTTTCTTTTAATAACATTTTGCGCTCACCTGTATGAGTAGTGTTTTACTTTAATAACGATTACGGAGACTCTCACATTTCCTAGAATTCCGAAATAATAATAAGCATTACTACGACAGTACAAATTTGTGTACAGTTGAAAGCATCCATATTTACTGCACCGTTAAATATGAAAACTTTTTAAAATCTTAAAACCCAAGTTCTAAACGGTATAATTCAATACAACAAGTACAATTGATTGTTAACATATAACAAAGAACTGAAAAACTAAAAAAAACATTCTCAATGAGTAATTTTTATAACGAAAAATAAAAATTGTACTGATTATACTTTTCCAGTTACATAGTTTTAGAATTGTACCTTTTTATTCTTATTGTGCAAGTTAATAGCCCTACTGTGAAGTGTGCCATAAATTATGGTTCACTGTAATACCTGTAATTCTGGTCTTTAATACTTAAAATATACTTCACATTCAAATTCCAACTATTAAACAGAATCATGCTAAAACTGCTTATGGCCAGTTTTGATGCTCTTACTGTAAATGACCTTTTGTGACAGATATATTTCTCTGGGAGAAAGCATAAGGACTAGTGGCTATCTGTATAACACTAGTTATATTTTCCTTAAATGTTTTGCTTAATCCTCAACTTTGGAGCGCTTCACAAACTAGATGAACACAATCCCAGTGGTAAGAAGAAAAGTATTCACATATAACAGAAAGTTTTTTTTTAGTATTTGAGAGGTTTCGTGTAGCTGGCCACAAGCCTGCAGTTAGGTCTAGTTTGGTAGTATCAGGATAGGAGCAATTCACCAACCTGAAATTAATTGTGTCTTTTGTTTTATAGGTTATGGCCATGCAGCTCCTGGGACTGATGCTGGCAAAGTGTTCTGCATGTTCTATGCTGTCTTGGGGATTCCTTTGACACTGGTTATGTTCCAGAGCCTGGGTGAAAGAATGAACACTTTTGTCCGCTACTTGCTGAAGAAAATCAAGGAGTGTCTGGGCATGAGGAACACCGACGTTTCTATGGAGAACATGGTTCTGGTGGGCTTCCTCTCCTGCATCGGAACCCTGTGCATTGGAGCAGCTGCATTCTCGCACTTCGAAGGATGGACCTTCTTTCATGCCTACTACTATTGCTTCATCACCCTCACCACCATCGGGTTCGGGGACTTCGTGGCTCTCCAGAAGAAGGAGGACCTCCAGGAAAAGACTCCCTATGTGGCATTCAGTTTTATGTACATCCTGGTGGGGCTGACGGTCATTGGGGCCTTTCTGAATCTGGTGGTCCTGCGCTTTCTCACCATGAACTCAGAGGATGAGCGGAGGGATGCGGAGGAAAGGGCTTCAGTGAAGAGAGAGAGGGACATGATTGCGCTGAGCCTGGGGGACAGTGGCCGGAGTAGGAGTACCCTCTTTTTGCCAATGGAAGAAGGAACGAGCCGTACTAATCTCATCCCCTCTGCCGCGGAGGATCAGGAGAACATGCACAGGCAGCGACCTTCCAAGGCGGGGTCTAGGCTGGGCTCCTTCTGCTCCTGTATATGCTACCGATCCCAGAACTGTGACAGCCCAGCAACTTCACAGCATGAAAACCTGGGCTGTCACACCAACTCGGTCTACTACAACTCCATCTCTTACAGGATTGATGGCGGCTTGCTTAGCACAAGAGACAACACGGCCCTGTCCTCACCAGGCAGCACTTTCACGAGTCATCCCAGTTTCACAGGATACCTCAGAACACGGAGGAAGTCGATTTAGGTTTAGGAATCATGTGGTAGAAGTATTTGTATAAATTTGATAGTTTTTATACAAAGCATGAGTTGAATCATTGAAAAAACATTTGCAAAATCGATGTTGTCTTTCACACAGCCATCCATTTGGTTATGAGTAGCATTTGTTATCTTACTTTTTTCCTGCTTTTAAGAATGTGCTCTTTATTATGATTGTTTTGTTGTTGTTGCATAACTATAATAAGCATGTACTACCTGCCGAGCACAGAATGGAAAGGGCCAGCTGAGCACATACAGTAGGTTAAATAAATGGGTCTAGAAAATCATACAGCGATCAGACATGAATGCAAGGAGTTTGATATAGAGGTGATGCTGGATGCACCAAGTAAGGAAACCAAAGATTGAGTCCAACATTAGTGGGCCACCAGTGTTTAATTTAGTAGCCACAGTAAAAAGTTTCTCTACTTATATTCTGTTTATCTGGATATAAGAAAGTTAGCGGCACTATTTTGTTTTTGTATAAGTTATTAGCATTGTTTTCACTCCTTATCTTGAAAACTACACAGGTTAAAATACTAGAAACTCAAATTAACCACATAAGAGATAACCATTGTACCACATTTTATAAAGAATAACACACATACCCACATACAGTAGATTAAAATTAAATTGAGACCCCACTAATGACTAGTGGGGCCTGCCATCAGTGTTAATTAATAATCATCTGTCAATTTCAAGCTCGTATTAGAAGCTTAAGCTTACCTCTATTGCCCCCTGGAACCAAATTCACATTCTTTTCTCACTCAGAATGTTCCAAGCAGCTTCCCAAACCTGAAATAACTGAGACAAGACAGTCAAGAGTAAGGCTATGAGAAATGGAGCCGGGGGCTGATAAACACTGAATTGGCAAAAATGAAATTGAGGCATATTACTAAAGCTGAGCAACAGAATGCTGAAGAGTGTGCCAGTATGTTTGCTGGCAAGGGGGGACATTATTGAAGGAGAATCATTTTGCTGTACATAAAGCATGCCTTCCTATTCATTTTCTTTTGAAAAAATGTATGTAATACCAAACAATAGAATTTGAATGTTATATAAATCAATAGTTTTTACAGTTCCTTTCTTAGGTATTTCAGTAAATGTAATTTGTTTGCATAATTTTAACCACCGGGCAGCACAGTAGTGGCGGTTAACAGTGCCACTTCACTGAGCTGGGGCCCTGGGTTCAATTCATGGGGTGCTATCTGTGTGGAGTTTGTTATTCACCTCATATTCACATGGTTTCCTCAAGGTGCTATGGTTTCCTCCACCATTCCAAAGACATACTAGTGGGTTCATTGGCTTCTGGGAAACTGGCCCTGCTGTGAGTGTGTGTGCCCTGTGAAGGACTGACATCCTATCCAGGGTGTACCCTGCCTTGTGCCCGTTGCTTGCCAGGATAGGCTCCGGCTCACTCACCATCCTGTATTGGATGATTTGGTTAGAAAAGGGATTGATGGATGAATTGTGATCACCCATATATCTATTCTGAAGAAGAAATTCAGGTGGGTAGCTGTGTCAGCATGCTTAGTCTGCAAAGAAACAAGTAATAGGTTTATTCCATGCTAAAAAGAGAAAAGAGAAAACACAATGTTTTGGCTGTGAAGCCTTCTTCAGGTGTGAGAAGGACAAAAATGAAAACTCATCCTGAAACTAGGTTCACACCATCCCCCTGCTCTACATGACCGACTTGTTTTCGTGTAATCTTCTCTATCTTCTCATGCAGGTTTTGACTTCACACCTTTCTTCACCTCTCTCCACTTTGCACTTCCTGAGTGGCCTCTCTGCCCCTCCTGCCTCCTCCCCTCTCCCAGCTTGTGTTCTTCTGCGCTCTTTAATCTTTGCTGGCTGCCCTGTCTTTCTCGCACCTGAAGAAGTCTTCACAGGCGAAATGTTGTGTTTTCTCTCTTCTCTTTTCAGCATGGAATAAACCTATTACTTGTTCCTTCTTAAGAAGAATGTTTGAGGGCACACTGGAAGTGCGGACTGCTTTGGCAACAGCAGTGATTTGCAATACTGTGGGTGAAACTCATTCCTCATACAGTTGTGTTGCATCTTAGCAAAATGACACAAAAACAAATTGTCATAACACTGTTACCATAGCAAAGAGTCAACCAGAGTGATTCAAAGACTGTTTCACATATACTGAAAAAATCACCGAGAAACAACCACCTGGTATCAGCAGGTTTAATAGTCCTAGGTTCAGAATTCAGGTGGCACATTTCAATGTAAAATGATTTATTATAGTTTTAGATTTAGCCTTATGACAGTAATGAAGGCAGAGAGTGCTTTAGTTTCTCTTGCCATTTATATTTTTATCTTGATTAAAAAATAAAAATTTGGTACTGCAAATGGTTAGCACCTCATGATAAATGTTAACACTTGACATCTATTTCATAGCTGTGAAAATTTTTGGGAAAGATCTTTTGCAAGGATACAAGATGACAAGCCTATTCATATAAACTATATATATATAGTATATTTTTTTCTTTCCTCATTTGTAAGGATAATTAATAATGATTGAATGAATAATTGTTTAAAACTGATTCCCTGATAAATACAACCTATTTGCAAGCCAACAACTGGATCTTTATTTGCTCCACTGATGGAAAGGCAGGGTTTTCTTGAAACAAACTAATCTTTTTCCTCATTCCTAATAATGGTGATGATCATGATCATAATAATGGGGACTCCTAACAGAGACACAATTTTAAATTGTGAATGGTGTGGAGTGTTTTTCTCTTTTTACCCACACAGAATCCTGGGGGATTCGTGGTCACAATCAGTGAAATACTCCAGGTTAAATCTTGTGGTAGAGCCACTTGAGAATCCATAGGCTTCTCTTTTGTTCTTTGGGTATTTAGGCCAAACAAAATAAAAACCAAACCCGTCACATCAAGACTATCAGAGGATTTTCAAGAACAGTATGATATTTTCCCTTCACTACTGTCCGTTCTCGTTTTCAGGAACTACACTTAATAGATTTCTGATTCATTATAAAAAGAAGGAGATAGCATTAGAAATTAATGGGAATTAATTAGAAATTGGGTTACAAAACAGAGCATGAACTACAATCTACAGGAACACTGGAATAAAATGGTAACTGTGAAAATTCCCAAGGCAAATTCAGAGCAAACTAAGAAAAACATTCTTCGGTCAGGTCCTTAATTTATTTATATACTCAAAAATTATAATATATATACTGTATAAAACTACACCTCACAATTGAACTGAAGCTAACTAGGAAACCCAGTGCAACCATTGTTTCAAACCTATTCAGTGAGGTGAACTACCGCCACACCCTGCAAACAATTGACGTGTGCATTCTGTATTCCATCCAATTAAAGCATACTAATAAATTAGCAAGATTTGGAGGCCGTCATTTTGTCAGCCTCTAGAAGTAGCTTAACCATACAGTAATTGCGCCCTCCAGCTGAACAACCCACTACAATAGAGAAAACCTCCTCAGTCAGTCCTTAATTTGATGAATGAATGATTAATGAAAGATCATTCCTCCAATAACTATCTGAACAATACTTAAAAAAGTTACAATGCTTTCATATCCGAGAGTCTTAATACAATATATTCACTAATTAGGGTTTCGACTCCAGGCCATTGAAAAAAGTACACCTAACTGCTGTAGACAGAGTTCTAAAACTTATTCCCAGTTTTAACTTAAAGTTAAGAAGCGGCATTGTACATGCAGTTATTTTAATGAGCTTGATAAGTCAAAGCAATTTACACAGATGAAAACAAAACATACTATAGGACGTTTTTTAGGTCCAGGCGTTCTACAGTATATGTTGCATTCATCACAGTTAAAGTGTGTTGATTTTTATGACAACAGTCAGATCCTTCAAAACTCCACTCCAAACAAAACTTCAAACTCTATGTCTGGTTCAAAATCAAAATTGTAACATTATATTTTGGTTGGTTTAGCAACAGCATACATACACATTTTCAATTATAAGTATACTAGCTGTACTCAAGTCATAGGTGAAATTGTTCCACATTTCATTAAAATTACAATAGTAGAAAACATACGTGGTCTAACATTAAAAAAACATGGAATACAGTATAACTGACTCTGAAATACTTGTTCCATTCCATCTGCTATTTAATCAAAATGTTACTTTACATATAAATGGAAAACTGATTAGGCAATAGAATTTTAAATGGTGGTTTTGAATAAATTGCCATCTGTTCTGGGCTTATAAAACACAAGGCAGAACACGCTTAATTCATTAATCAGTTTAAATATCATACATCCCCCCACTGTGCTGTCACCTGACTTTATTCAAGGCTGTGTTCACTAATTTGTACATTCTTAAACAGCACATATAGTATATCCAAAGCCTGTTCCCTTGGCAACATTTCTAATCGGAGATCTGTGTCTAACTCAGACTCAGAGGAAACTTTGCAAAAGAGAGAGTACAGGTTGAGTGCTATAGTTCAGGTGTGAGTATATCCTTAACCATCTGTCACCTGAAATCCCCAGGCAATAGTGTATTATTTTGATGGGCTTGTTCAGAGGAGACACTCCTACCCTGTGGCTTGGTGAGCTCATGTGAGCTTGCTTTATTTTCAGTGAGAGATGATAGATAAAGAAACTGTCCTGCAGGCATTATGGAGCATGGAGTTGGTGAACCAGTGAAAACTGTGGAGCAAAGTACAGTATGCATTGCCTTATTTCCCATATAATGGCAAAAGGGTTCTGCTTGTAAGTTGAATCGATTGCTAATAGCTAATTCCAAATTGAGAGGACATTTATAACATTTCAGTTATTCTACATTATTATTAAGAGAAGAATATGAAGAGGAAACAAGTTAAAAACAATATTTGTAACATCTACATATTCACCATCTGTATCAAAGCCCAGCCATAATTATTATAGTTTCACAAACTGTTCTATTCCAAAAAATTGTTTCACAGATTTCTGCTTTTCGTACAGTACATCAAAGATACATACAATACCTAAAAATATCTCAGTGGAGCTTTATGGCAATTCCACATTTACTTTGCTTTTGAGCAAAAGCAGGTATTGTTCTATCCACAAAATAGTATTTCCTGGGCTTTACAGGTTATTCTAACATGAAACTAAAAAACTGTACAATATACAACTATACAATATAGTTCTTAAATCAAAGGGATAGTTCAAGCAGGGTTACACTCAGGATGCAATTGCTTTGGAGCATTCATGATAATACCTGCAGTGCAATTAGCACCAGTTACTTATTTGATAACCAACACAGGTAAACCAGAGACCTGCAAGAAAGAGAACACTTTTTGACCTCATACAATATAGTGACAGTGATTGAAAAAGTGCTGTAAAGGTTTTTTTATGCTGTGCTACAATGTACTATTATTCTACTGAGTAAAAAAAACAAACTAACATTATGCTTTTATTAAACAGTTACTTTAACTGAAAGTAAAATTTTGTTTTAGCAAACAAATATGAACTATATTTGAAACTCGCTTGCCCATCAGTGGGACAGGCAGGTACTGTACATTACTTTCCTATCTCAAAGTTGTCTGCACAAGCACACCAGCTTTCAGAGATAATTTGGGTCCAAGGAAAGGGAGAACAAAAAAGATGCAATAAATCTATTGTAAAAAACAATAACCTCATATTATTTGCTTAAACAGTTTAATTATCAGCGGCTGTCCGAAACCCTGGCCGTGAATTGAATAATGTTGACTCTATAGAAGGTTCACACTTTTGTTACAGGAGAGACCTCTAGTGGACACACCACCATCTTGTTGCGCCACAGCACTGATTTCAGACCTGCAACAGATCTAAAAAGGAATACAGGATAAAAAAAATCTAACTGACTTTCATAAGAAATGATGATCACAGCTCAAAAGTACAATGTCTCATTAAATTAAGAGAAACCACTTCTGACTTCCATACCAAAACCTCATACTTTCCAACTTATTTCTATGGAAATAATTTTATTGTTTTTTTTTTTTAAACTCATGTTGTACTAGAATGAAAATGTAGTGTATGCTACAGATGTAAGAAAAGCACAGTAAATTGACCAAATTAAACCAAAAGTAAATTCAATATAAAAAACTGCTAAAAATGTTGATGATACCAGAGTCTCTGATGGATTTAAGCAATAAGTTCCACTGTACAGTGCAGCAAAAGAGAAGGCTTTGCTGTAAATCGCATGGATTCGGATCTTCAGTGGAGAAAAAGGCCTGAATTAGCAGATATAGTTAAGTGTTGGACTGTAATTTAATAAGCTCTTAAAATAACCTGAAGCTAGACCACAATTCTGAACACACTAGCCTGCTTAGTACCTTGAAAGACAGTATCCCAGCAAGT